TATCACGTACGTAAGGTTGAAATGTAATTATACATCGATTCTGAAAATTTCAAGCGAAAATATCAATCGGCAGTAAAGTTATGTTCTTTTTGGGAAATCGCTTTCTAAAATTCCGTTTTAAGCATGCTTTTATAGGAAGTAAGTCCAGCTATTTCTTCCTATCACAGATAATTTATCTCAGAAAAGGCAGTAAGTCCACGGAATTACTTCCTTATCTCAGAAAATTTTCAAGATTTTCTCAGAAAAGGCAGTAAGTCCGGACTTACGTCCTTCTCTCAGAAAATAATTGGCCAAAACCGAACATAATGTTTCTCAACAGGGACTTACTTCCTTAGGAATTGCATGCAATAATGTTTCTATACATTAATATGTAGCTCATGTTGTAGAGAATTTTCTACTGAAAATTTTGATACCAATATTGTCATATTTCGAAAATTTGGACTTACTGCCTTTTCTGAGAAAACGGCAGAATAGTGGGTACGATTTCCTCAATGAACCTGAAGAAGGAATATCTGTCCTGAAATGATACCATGTAACGTCGAGCTAAAAAATGAATCAAAAGTTCGAGTAAATTGTTAAATGTTGTATGTCCTATTTGCATCCCCTAAGCATTGCATTGATGTTTATTCCTGGTCCGGTTAGCTTTGCGTCTCAGAACTAAAGAGGTCCACTATGCTTTAGTGAGCTATGCTGTCCACCAGGGTACTGTAGATCTAAGGGTTCCCCGTGTAATGGGGCAGGCTGTGAAAAAGCATCTCTGCAGGATGTCCGAGATGAACTGTTTTCGAGTGTTAAGAACTTCCGCTGTAGAACTGAATAGAACCAGTTGCAGTAGGGGTGTCAGTCAAACACTGCTGGCTACTAGATGATTGTAGAGCGTCCAGTCACACTTCAATAAAGAGTGTGGCAAAGCTAACCCGGTCCCCTGAAAAGTGGTTACTGGAGGAAGAAGTGCCAGGAATTCTCGCTATCAGTGTGTCCTCGTAGTCAGAGTTGACATCCCTAACACTGTCTTATCACGAGCCTGTGTCTAGCGTGTGTCAGCCCTAACGCATTAACTGTCTTAACTGAAAAGACCTGAAAAGTGGTTACTGGAGGGAGAAGTGCCAAGACTACTCATTATCAGTGTGTCCTTGTAGTCAGGATGAGCGAATTGGAATCCCTAGCTCTGTGGTGGGTGACTTCGATGGGACCTGAAAGCTGAAAGAGAATTTCCTGGTGATTTAATAGCTCTTAGAGCTAGGTATCTGTGTCTAACGTATCGTCGTTTGTGTGTGTATTATCTTGTAACCGAATATCTGAAAGAAAAATTTCCTGGTGCTTGGTAGCTGTTAGTGTTGACTTCCTGGTTCCTATGGGAACTTTGAGATGGCAAGTCCCAACCTTTGTACTCAACAAGAGAGCACACCACCCGTTAGTGCCAACCAGGCCACACCACGTGGAGGTTCGGAGAGGATTTCGTGACCCCTCGGAAGACCTTACTCCTACTTACATAATGGGATAAGTAGCTAACGACTAACCTGAGGAACGCAGGCTTTGTAAAGCCCGGCAAATAGCATTGACGTCTTGCAAAGCTTTGTTTATCTTGTTTCTCTTTGCTTCAGAATTTAAATACGAAGAAATTTTGCCTTGTGGGTTTACTCTGACAGACTGACAAGCAAGTCCAGTCACGATTGATGACGGGCAAGGTATGGATATGAGCCGTGTAACTGTTTTTGCTGTACTGATCTTTACACCCAAACTTGAGTCTTAACATCATATAATACAAGTGTAAGTTTAAGATATAGTGCTAAAATATAGAGCGACCTAAGGATTCATTTGCTATAGAGATTGTCCATGAAGTTTTTTGAGTAAGCGTAGTTTTATTTTACATAACAATGAGGCAGAGAAATTATATGCTGGGCCAGGTAAAGCAGGAGCTGCTCTTGAAATGTGTACCATTTCGTTAGCCCAGGTGACAGCAGTAAATAATGTGGGACCGAATTAGGTGCTCAAATATCTCCATTTAAATTACAATCAGTGAGCACAGATAGTCAATTGTACGGTAGTATATACTATATTATAATATATGACAAATAATTTAAAGCTATAAAATGGCTTGTCCGAAGATTCTATGTCTATTCTAAGATAGTTCGATACTCGATAGTTGTTTGCATACTATACGGTGATCTCGCATAATGTCCTCGATTTTGTTGAACATTAAGAATGTACGGTATTTATACTTTATAGTTGTAGTTGTACTCTTATAGCTTTTCTTTTAACACACTCTGTTACATTTGTTAATAACGGTGTAGTCTACATTGCAGGAAACTTTAAAATTTCGGTCTGCACTGTGTTAAACACTGTGACTGAATAAGAGGTACTACGTCCTAGACACAACTGGAAGCAGTATTCGTCTTTACTAAAATTTGAACTATTTATTGTACACCATGAGCGTTCTATCAGTGCCTCTAAATTATCAGATCTTTACATTGTTAGTTCTCAGATCTCAAATTGTTCCATTATGTAAATATGTAGTGTCGATAGGACTTTTATATGAGCAAACTTATTTTCTTAGTGCGTAGACACCGAAATTATTGAGTTTTGTCAACATCTGAATATACGGGCGTCCAGTTAATGTACAAGTTCCTTAGTACATATGTTGTTTTGTATACAGGACTAACTAGTCTTCAGAAAATGCGGTCAGCTCACTAGTTTCTTTAACGCTACTTTCATGTGGTTCAACATAGATTTCAGCTTTTATCTTTAAGCGTAATTATCTGCTATTTTCAAGCTTGTAGATAGTAACTCGTGACTTAGTCTAGAGATATTTGGTTAATTTTTCATACAGGGGTTCGTGGAGTGTTGAAGACCTGCCCGTTAAAATATCCCCGATTCCCGGCGGTGGCCCAGAAATGCAACTTTTATTCAATTAGCTATTTACATTGTTCAGACATATTTGCGCTAGGACAAAATTGTACATAGTTTAGTTTGATATATTAATAATTACTATTAGTTTTTGTTTGGCTTCCCTATAAATGCTCAAGTGTAGACAAGCAGGAGCATTATACATATATCAAAAAGTGAAATACTAGTTTGATATATTTATTGTTCAAATTGCTCCTATTTCATTGTTTTTATTTCATGAACATGACTTGATAGTTCAAAGGCATTCCGGATCACGTACCCGATTGTTGCCATGAATGGCAAACATCCTTGATCGATGAAGATATACTCTTATGATTGATGTTAAATATTTTCATGCTTCGCTTGATGAAGCTTGTGCGATCAGCGCCGTACAGGCTGATAAAAGTGAACATCCTCCATCGTAGAATTTAAATTTCAAGAAAATAGACTGGTACTGTTTATTATTACTGATAATCAGTCCTGATAATTGTGTAAACATCTGTGATCTGCAGTTAGAAGGAAGTTAATGAACTGAACAAGTATCGGTGAGTCATGAAATTTCCACTCTAGTAAATGTGGTGTGTGGGATTGTCGGGGGGTCAATTGTCGCCCACCCCACGTGCTATACCGACGCATATCATTATAAAACGTTGAAGTTAAACAGAAATGTGTCTGAAAAAATTGCAAACGAATAACATAACTTTAGTCTTTGAATGCAATTTCAAGAAAAATAGGAAAACGTATTTTAACGTATTTTTGACGTATTTTATTTCTTAGCGAAAAAATACGCAAAATACGGCGTATTTAAAAATTTATCTCACGTATTTTTCAACTCTGGCGTGGATACCAATCGGGTATAAATACTATTTGTCGTTTTAATCAATTTCATTTCATAGTATCTGCAGATAAGAGGATAACCACTCATTAGAATCAGATGATCATTGTACATTTTAGTGTCAGCCATTAAAATTCTCTCCGTATCGAACTTGGAGTTGGTTAAGTTGACAGCAACTGTCGTCTCTCATCAATATTTATTATTTATACATTTGTCTTCGAAGCTATTAATTAAATATGTCTACAGTTGGTAAATGGTAAATGTAATTACTGTGAATAAATATTTATTGTTTCACGACTTATCATTTGTCTGAATTTGCATTTTGGGAGAGGCAGTTTTTAATATTAATTAATTAATATATTGTGACCTATGAAAACTGTCTCTAAAAATAGTATCGGTATTGCATTGGCACCAAATTTCAATTCTTGGCGTTTTAATTGTTTCACTTAAGTGTTGAAGCTAATAACTTAATAACCTCTTCACGGTATTTACAAATCTATATTTTAACATTTCCGGATTTGCGTGTCATAGTAATTATAATCGTATGGATTAAATCTACTTTCAAACAGTTCGTGATGATATTTTTAGACGTTTAACACACCGTTTATCAAAGCTGTAATTTTTGTTTTGTCTATTTGATTCCACGTCATCTGGTTCAATGGAAAGTCAAGGATTTCAATTATGCAATATACAGCTGTCTCTTGTCTTATATTTTAGAACGCCGGATAGAAAATATTATTACCAGTTGGTTTTATCCCTTTTAATGGATGTAGTTGTGAATATTTGTATCTGTGCTCAACCTTCTTTAAAACATTCTTTCGATTATAGTAACACAAATTATATTTTTCGTTTATTTACGGTCTTAAAACTTCGCCTACGTTGTGTGCAGTAACTCATAGTACGCATTAAATATCAATTATATATATTGCTCTCAATACAAATGAAATAAAGCCATGAGATGCCAAAATTTACATTTAATTTTTGATTTCAGACCAGATCAAAAAAATTAGCTGTCTGATTTTCTACTGTCATTTCAGTTTCACGTGGACCTTCAGTGCCATTAAAACTAAATCTGTTCAGTGCTTAATTTTAATTTAGATTAATTGTTGGTTCTCCTGGAACCAATTTCGGTTATCTGTGAAATACTTTAAATTCAATTTTGACTCAGCTCTATTTTTCAAATATACGGAAGGTATAGCACATATCGATAATTAATAACAAATACTTAACTCTTCCCATTCAAATTAACTTGTAACAATCAAAGAATATGAATTTTAGGAATTCCAATTATGGTGTTGAAGGAAGGTGAGGACCCAGAGAATTGTGACGAGGAGTGCAAGAAGAAGGGGTATGTGGTGGTGCTGTTCAAGAGTTGCTGGTATACGGTAACTCTTATCGTAGCTATCTGCGCTGCCTCCGTCATATTAATGGGTATCGAGGGAAACCACCTTAAGTACACTAATCTCAATAACTACCAAATGAGAGAGGGTTTTGACAGAAGATTATTGGAGGTTAGTAAATTAAATTGAAAATGCATGTAAACATCGACTGTCGATTGGGTTATATCAGGAAGGTAGCTAACGTTTGGTTTGACACGTGACTGCGATTGAACATTCAGCTTGCAGCAATGAAATAACAGTACTGCTGCAATGTTTCAAATAAATTATGCACCACCTCCAAGCCATTGCCTGCATCTATATAATATCCCTTTTACTGCTCAAATTTTCGTGGCAAGTTCACTTGGCGCTTTAAAACTCCATGTACAAATAAATCTTACTTAAACTTCCTCAGTGGTTACAGAGTAACAAACCAAGAGCACAATCTCTAAGAGACAATATAGGACTATATGATACACTCGATGCGTTTGAATATCACCAAATTATTGAGAAACAGCGCAAGGAAAATCGCACTAAGATCCAGAAAATTGTTAAAGGTCAATGCTTCATCGCGAACGATAAGCTAAAAGCGTGGAACAGCAAGTCTTGGGGAGACTCTTTTATGTACGCAGCTAGCATTATGTCCACAGTCGGTATGAAAACTTAGCTATAATACTTAAGGTTAAAGCTAAGTACCATTCGCCATTTTATTTCGATTATTTAATCCTTGTGATGCTTATAGATAACGACCTATTTTGAGTACCTAATACAAATTATAAGTACTCGTATTTTTCTTTAAATTTCTAGCTACGCTTGATAATAATAATACGCTCTTATCTGATTAAATTATATTGTACTTACTAATAATCAAAACAGGTTGGGGAGTATATTATCCACCAGATACTAGACTGAGAATCATAACCCTCGTATACATGATATTTGGTATTCCTATCTTCGCTGCCATGATAAGTATATATATTTTTTTAAATTAGTATAACTGTTGTCAATAATCGGTTTGAATCAGGTTTTATGATACAAACTTAACTTCGAACAAGGATTGCCCCTGTCCGTGAAAAATCAGATAGCCCAATTTATAGACAACTAATTTTCGTCAATTAATTTTAACCTTCACTTAACCTGTAATAATATGTTACAGATTGCATATCTGGTATACTCGACTCTTTGGAAAAGTGTCTGATGAAGAAAAAATCAATACGGAAGTATATCGGGGATGATAAGTGTCTGTGTACCCTACAAATCCTCTGGATAATCCTCGCTGTTTTGATATACGGTATGTTGAATCTTTAGTATATTACGTGTCCTCGTAAGATACTTATTTAATATTCCTAATCCTGAATGTCAAATAAGTATATTAAATTATTAAGCAATGTCAGCTATGATTTAGTTTTCGAATAATTACAAAATGTTTTTTGAAGCCCAAATGAGGTGTCGATAGAAGTTGTTGATTTTTCACAATCTCTTAAGGTCACAGGGCCGGGGGGGGGGGGGGGGGGGGGGTCCGAGGTCGAAAACGTATTTTTTGCTAACGGGCAGGCCACGTCTAACCCGACGCCTGCGCACCACTCTATATCGCGTAGCTGATTAAATAGTCGATTTTTAACCTCAATTGTACGACAAAATAGCTACCTTAGTCGGTAATATTATGGGGGTCTAATTTGGTCGTTTCGGGCCAAAGAACCATATTTATAACAGTCCATATTTTTACCCCCCATAATTTAACCCCCCGAGTCAAATTTTGGTGTTCCTTTTGGTATATCAGTCATAACATGCTTAACGTTTCTTTCATTCACGTCCAGAAATATGCTTACGTCATTGTTTGCTGAATTGAAGCTATTTCGGGTTCAAAAAGTCCGATTTGTCTACTATTCCCCCACCCCCCATCCTTTCAATTTGAGGGCCGGTAAACTAGGAACAATTTCAATTTAAATTTAGATCAGCAACTTCAGATAAATTAAATAATAGTTAATACAAGTTCAGCAGCAGCTTTTTCGTTGCAGTGTACAATTCGTGAGCTGTACGGGCTAAAACGAATACCTATAAGTATATGGGAGCTTGTGAATATTTACACGATGCAACTGCAGACAACTGAATTTTAATCACCAGATTTCGATAGCAGAATATCAGCCCCACATTCTAAAATAACGCTCCATGTGTAGCAGAACAAATGTATTCTAACACCTGATAGAGATCGGATATCTAATGAAAAAATATTAAATTTGGTGTGAAAGCGGTGTGAAATTTGATCAATATTTGAGATTCTTTCACGAAAGGAAAGTCGCAGTTAAAAGTGTGAGGGTCAAATTTGGTTCTTTTCGGGCCAAAGAATCATATTTATAACAGTCCATATTTTGAACACCCATAATTCCCCCCCCCCCCCCCCCATAATATTACCAGCTAAGGTAGTTTTACCAAAAAAGGGCCAATATTTATTAGTTAAAGGAAATTAAGACAACTGTTAGTGTAATATACATCTTCCAACAGCTGGCATTTGTGACTTTTTCGTGGAAGAAGGAAGAGACGACGTTTTAGAAGCGCAACTTGAGGACGCTGTTCTCAACTACTCCTGGACTTATTTTATCTCTGTTTACTATACTATTATCACGGTAACGAGTATCGGGTTTGGAGATATTTACGTTTATAGCCCAAACCACTTCCTTTTAAACATCAAACCGGTTCTTTGCTTGTTCTTAACCGCTTTTCTCGTTGCTTTCTTTGCTAGAATTTTCACTAAAATACAGAATAAGGTGGACAAGGCTGCTACAAAGAGAAGTGAGAGGGCTCATAAAAGTGTGACCAAATTGAGACTGGGTATTATGCCTGTAGTTCAGGAAATTGAAGATTCCAATGATCAATAATAATTCTGATCATTTTTCCTCGAATTTCTTAAACATTTATTTGAGAGATGGAAATAATAACTGTTTTTCCTTTGGAAATAAACATTATTGTAGATGTTTTTATGGGTGGTGATGTTTTGATTATTAAATACATTTATTTATTGAGAGTAACAAAAAATGTCGCTTATTCTAGTTCTCGTTCAAATTACTTAATAAATGAAACATGCTTAAAGATGGATTAATTACACTTACGCCTAGAAATTGATTGATAACACTTAAACCTAAAATAATACTTAAAACTAAAATACGAGGTTGGTTTGTTATGCAACCCACTTATCTTACTATGTTTATATTGTACAGAATAACAATCAAATTTCTTTATCATTATCATGTAACTCGTTCGAGATTACATGCTGTCTTCACTAATTATCGAGGACTAAATCAAATAAAATACACGATCATAAATAAAGTTATATTTATCCCTCGGCCAGCCGTTCGTTTTCTCCATTTTTAGGCTTTCTGAAGGTTTGGAAAACATATTCTTGTTTGCTGTGTCTTAAAAGATATCATAACTCTGTCATTTCAGCTCCGTTTTGCCTACTTCTTCAATTTGCCATTTGACAGGCAATGACAGCATGCAAGTGCAACAGTCGAGCTCTTAGCATGCTTACGAAGGCTATCTGCAATATAAAGATATAAGGCCAAAAGAGTTAAGGGTGTGATCTTGTCATTGAACCAAAGGTTTGGGCCACCGTTTACTTGTGGCTTGTATGTACATTGTAGTTGTAACTGCGTGGAAACTGGAAAGTACCACAATTTGCTTGTATTATTCATATTCTGGTATCCCCACCACACATAGACAACTATATAAGTATAGCTTATTTTAATTAATTGTCTTATATCATATCTTTCACTGCACTGGATATAATACAATGTACATTGTACATTGTTATTAGTTATAGCTCCTTCGACCCGTTGTTGTTGAGCACTTTCGTTTGAATCTCCCGACTCAACAAATCACCCTCAAATATGGATCCTAACTCTACCAGCTTCACGGAACTCAATAAAGAATTTTCCTCTACCACTTCACGAAGGCCAACGAAATTAGCAACTTTTAAAACAAAATATATCCTACTTCACAGACAATTCTAAAATTTGGACGAGAACAATGTTTTGAAGATTTTGGAAATTTTGAAAATGTTTTATATCCTGTCACTTGACCGTAATTTAAATCGATAAAAAGTATTCTATAAAGGAGCAATATATTATGATATCGTATCTCTAAAATTCATTATTCTTATTTGGCACTGAGGATTGGTATTGCTTTTGCATATCATGAAACGGATCGTTTGCCCGCCAATTTGAGTGTTTCTCTTTGTTTGAAGTAATAGAAACTAATTACAACACTACAAATCTATTAAATTTATGAAGTATTATGTAACGTGATGGATATATCAGTAGTCAATGACTAGACAGGGCTATTGAAAATCACAAAGAATAAAATGGCGTCTGGACTTGGGACCAGCTCATAGTACATTTCATTAATGCCCTCTGAAAACCATTCTGCTAGCTCAATAAATGTATTTAATTGTAGTTGTGAAAATAGTTTAAAACTTAATATATATACTGGGTGTAAATAAGAGCAGATTTTTGCCTACCGCCGTACGCTTGTTCTTTATCAATTATCATGGTACAATCAGTCTCTAGCTTCTTTGCAAGACGTTGTAATTTGTATTGTCCTATCATCAAGTTTACAGAATTTAGACTCTGTAGCAGACGCCTAACACTTGTCGCACTGCCTCCACAAATCCAATACGTCTCCACAATATCGAGTTTTGTTTCTTTTGTGAACCCCATTTTTCTCAAAATTCGACTTTTTGGAACAGAGCCAAAAAAATTTAACAAATTTTAATCGCTGGAACAAGTGAGTTGAACAAATTAAATTCGTAACTTTTATGAGCTAGTAGCAACCGATAATGGAAATTTTGCTCTTTTATAAAAAATGTATTATTTTAAAAAATAAGGGCATTATTTATGAAACACCCTGTATATTTTAAAGTCACTATTGTGACGGTACATTAGAACTAGACAGAAACAAAGTCAAAAGTGTGAAGGGCCTGAACGGAACCCCTCGGTTTCAGTTCCTTGTTTAACACTGCCGTACAGCAAGGACATCCACCATTCCACCGGGTTCTCCAAGCATGGGCACATAGCTCACTCCATACTATGCTTTGTCAAATGTATGTAATGTTGCTTATATACCAAGGATCTACAGGAAATATTTCCTTAGACATAATAGTAGGCAGTATTAAAATCAGCTACTAGACGTCTGCTGAGTGCTGACACACAATGAAACATTGTCATGACATACATGTTACATATGTATATTGTATGTACTATTACATTATGTACATATATTGTGTATACTTAAACCACCGTTTAAAACTTAATATAATGTAAGTATAGTCGTTTAACTAATACTCTTATACCTGAGGATCTCAGGTTTCGCAAGGCACGGTAGTTTTGCGATGCCTTGCGAAACTTTAAAAACTTGTTTATATCTGCTTTTTAATTTCAGTGTGAAGGAAGTATGGGCAAGTTTGTCATGATAATGTATCATCAGATCGAATGAAAAATATATTTTACCTCCCCATTGGCCCATCATCTATAGTCCAAAGAATTATAATTCAACAGGTACCTTCGCAGCCCTTTTATTGACGGCCCTTATTAACTAAGCATTTTACTCTCTACTATTGTCATTCTGTACTGTAAATATACGTTGATTAGGAATATATTACATTTTATGAGTATTTTTCTATGCATAATCTATCATAGTCATAACTGGAGGATTATAATTAATAGCACAAGCGTCAAACATTTCTCCCCATTAACAAATAATAATCATGTTACAGTCACACTGATAAGCTTTATTTAAGCCATACATTATTATCAATACTTCATATCGATAAGCTTTATAAGTTATACATTAATATCATCAATAAATTATGCTAATACTTTATTTGTGGGTATATTTGTGGCGCCTAGTTTCTCATAATCGAACTTGGTTATACATTTAATAATAGAATAATGATATCAAGCTAACTGTCGTCTGTCGCCAGTCATGACAATTGTTTTAGAAACTAAAATTAAATATATCACTATAGTACCTAGTGTCTACGTTTAATAATGACAGTAATGTGACAAGTGAAAATGTTACTGTTAGAATTCTGGCGCTGGTATTTAGTTTATTCCAGACGGCTTCAGTCCGTAATTTTGGTTTTTTCTTAATGAGTCGAAATTTCTGCTTTATCTGAATCAGCCATAATTCGGTCGCCTTGTAAATAGTAAGGGCTAGAATTCCAGTTTAGATATTCACATTGACAAAGATCAAGTTACAATTTGATTTAATCAGCTTTGCCTCTAATTTCTGGCTTTATCTCTCTCTCTCGCTTTGTTTTTGTATTTATTTCTGGTATTATTTGTAGCTTTATTTATCAAACCTGGTCAATTTAACTGTCGTCTGTCATCACTCCTTAGTCTTTAACATTACGAAATTTTAAATAAAAAACTGAAACTGAATCACAATGCTGGTAAGCATTACCGTCGCCCTTATATTCACAATACTATTTACCCCTATACTAGTATATCCCCTTTATTGTTTTCCAGGCATTAAGACTCATCGAAAGTAGTTCAGCAGGTATATTTAAGTTCAAAACATTCTAATTCAATGTTAAAGATGACAGGAATAAGAAATAGTTATGTGGAGGTTTTTAAGAAATTTGCGCAAAATACGCGCCAGCATGTTATACGAAATTAGGTAAAAAACCCAAAATCGCCATATTCAGGTGCCTTAAAAACCATGTTAAAATTGAGTTAGAGATCTGAAACTTTGCAGGGCGTCTAGACCTTGTCCAAATCGACTGCAAAAAAAATTTCATGTTTCAGGAGTATCGGGAAGTGGGTTTTCTGGAACCCCTGTTTTACAACAGATTGTCGTGAAGTATAGTATAGACGCTTTTGCAGTCAATTATAGTCAATTATAGCCTACATTTAAGTGTCTGTAGATCCAATAGTATAAAAGATACAGTCATTTCGAACCACAGGTTTTAAAGATAATTGTTTATACTTTAGTTTACATTATATCAAAAAATAATTTATCTTCATCATCATCACTTGATGACGTTATCAAATTAGGTGTTTTTAAAACTTGATTTTTGACAAAGTAATAACTTTTCAAATCGATTTTAAACCATTAAGGAGTAATTTTATTCAAAATCTGAGGACATTTTCATCTTAGATAATTGTTCAAGCATTCTGAAAATCTACCGGAAAAGTTTCTTACTTTGCTCCTTCATAAAGATATTCGCTATTGAAGTAAGTGCTTTTTTGAAGAATAATTTTATAAAAACACAAAAGTTGTGAATTAGTATTCTCTGGTGTTGGGCCATCCCTTGAGTTGTGGAGCTTAATTTTGCTTTTTAAAGGTCTAAATTGTGTTATAGGATAGTTTTAAAGTTGGAAATCGAAAAGTTGCACACGTGGGGACACGCCCAAATTGATAGAAAATTGCTAAAATTACTGAAAATTGCTGTTTTCACCATTTTTATCAACTTTGGAGTCCCGTTGTGATCCAAGTTCTATATGAAATCTTCTGAAACTTTGCATGCTTATTAAACTGTATATAAAATACTGCTATGCAAAAATTTACGGTGATTCAATATTGTATGCGCACGCAACGTCCGCTCAAAGTTTGCACGTGCGAAAGGTGAGAATTTTGCTCATTCGTGATTTCGAATAAATTCTGCTTTCCCACGATATTTAAATGGCATTATATATGAATTTAATGCCAACTTGAATGAGTAAAAAGTGCCATATTCAGTCAGGTAAAATTTCGAAATCGATGAAATTACCTCCTATTTATTAATATAAATATGAATGAAGTTATGAGTTTACATTTCGGCTTTGTAAATTATCCTGACATTATAATCAAAAAGAGATGATATTTGACCAAAACCCATATCATGGGTAGAGTGTACCGCTGCCAGTGTCTCTCTTTTCCAAACAAAAGGAAATGATATTAATTTGAATAACCGTC